CGTCGACAACCAGCATGGCGTGGGGCTCGACGAGCTTTCGTGTGCGTGGGAACCGCGGGGCCCATCATCAGGTAAATCCAGGCCGGTACTGAGAGTAAAAACTGTAGAGCAAGCTAGGTTAGCGTTCCTGTTTTTAGTCTCGGAAGGCTAGTGGTGGGTTCCATACCACTCCAAATGTCCAGCCATTGTTACCAACGATTCTGGATCCATCGGCTCTGAAAACAGCGATCCCCAGCGCCCAGGACACAAAGCCGAAGATGATTTGTACCGAGTGGAAGATCAGCTTGAACATTGGGATCCGCTCCGGATCGAATTCGAGGTCCTCCCACATCTTGTCTGGCGGTTTGCTGTGTGCGGGGGGAGGGGGGGAGAGGAGAAACGGAAGAATTGGGGGATGGGTAGGGGCGACAAACGTACACAAACGAATACGGGCCATGGCAACGGTCGGCCTTGCTGAGGCACGCAGGCTGTCCCGGCAGAGGTTGGCCGTGTTGTAAGCGGGCCCTGGGTTGAGAAGGCCGAGAGCCAGATGATGGCGTAGAGGGCGTCGACAACCAGCATGGCGTGGGGCTCGGCGAGCTTTCGTGTGCGTGGGAACCGCGGGGGCCATCATCAGGTAAATCCAGGCCGGTACTGAGAGTAAAAACTGTAGAGCAAGCTAGGTTAGCGTTCCTGTTTTTAGTCTCGGAAGGCTAGTGGTGGGTTCCATACCACTCCAAATGTCCAGCCATTGTTACCAACGATTCTGGATCCATCGGCTCTGAAAACAGCGATCCCCAGCGCCCAGGACACAAAGCCGAAGATGATTTGTACCGAGTGGAAGATCAGCTTGAACATTGGGATCCGCTCCGGATCGAATTCGAGGTCCTCCCACATCTTGTCTGGCGGTTTGCTGTGTGCGGGGGGAGGGGGCTGCTTGTCTTGGAAAGGGGGGGTATTTGGCGATCCGTCGATGTTGACTTTTGGGAGTCGCAGTCGCAAACGCTAGGGCAAGGTTGAAAAGTGCGAGATCCTTAAGAAACCTTAGAAACCCGGTACTCGTCAACCGTAAAAATAAATAACAAAAGCAAAACAAAACGGCAGCAAAGCGCTCACAGGCGAATAATCACAGGTGTCTTGTCAGGAAAAAGGAACTAAACAGAGCCGCGCGGTTTGCATCCTAAAACAGGGTCAGCTCGCAAGAAAATGGATCCCAACACAGCCGCTGCTCTTTGCCCAGGCGACGGAGAGCCCAGGGCTTGGCGGTGGGTTGCACAGTGCCAAGCCACACGAATGACGCCTCCGGAGAAGCCACTGACACCCTGAGCCACTGGGTGAGCCAATCAATCCAAGATGACAGGCTCACCTGGTGGAGACCTGCGTGGCATTGTGCATGAGACTGGGAAAGTGAGTGGGAGAGTGAGACAGTGTTTCCAAATCGTCTCTCGACATATCATCTCAAGACCTTGAAGCCCTAACAGTTCAGAGCAAACGGGTATCGCCAAAATTGCATCTTGTTGCCCGACCTTGCTTCTCCGAGGCTTTCATGAGTTTATCCAGCATCGAAACTCTTAATTTGCATGGAGTGGCCAAGGATGACCTGAAGCAATTGAGGAGCGACGTTCGTTTTAAAAACGCTGCTGCAATTTCAACTGCCGGGCCGGCATGCTACCCACCAGTCTACTTCGTGCTGCGTATTAACCACAAGTGTATAATAAAATCGAGAGAGCTTGCATCTGGGTGGGGTGGAGTGTGTCGATGATCTGTAGAGACTGTTTGCTGTTTTGGGTACTCTGCACAGTCCCTATGTAGGATTCTCGTCAGTTTACCGAGTCAGGACCGGAAGTGGTGCTGGCTGGCCCAGCAACCACAGGCCACGGTCCACAGCCGCTGACGACGACGCAATCAATCCTGCCCACATCAAGTGCCAAAAATAGAAACAGCCCGATCGCCACCGAACCTGCCCCGAACCAGGCCGGCGTCCGCCTCGTCTGGGCTCTCCGGAGAACCACTGGCCCGGCCGTGCCCGGTCCCGTAATCGGGCATCATTGCGGGCGGCGCACCGGAGTCCCAATCCCGGCCTAACTTGGCGAATTTCATGATGGGTTCCTGATACCCCAGACACCAAGTCATCTTGGAATGCCTATACCCATACTACCCATACTGCCTTGCGTGCTATAGAGGACTCACGAATAAGCAGAGGAGATTCTGGGGTCAAGCCCATACATCCGATGTATACCATCACCAATGTATTCGGGACGGGCCCGTTACCATTTCCACAAGGTACCGGATGATGTGGTTGACTGTGTCGGCTAGCTTGTCGTTCGCGTGTTTGTCGCTTGTCATCTAGTCGACTGTGGCCTGTAAATAGACTATCGATCTTGGCCGTCAGGCTTTCGACCGCATTGTGCTGACTGTTGAGCGCCTTTCACCTGCGCGGTCAGTTTCCTTGACGGCAGCGTCGACTCGCGCCGACTCACCGACTGCATTCCTCGTCGTCGCATCCACATCGTCGGCAGCGAGTCGTTTCTCGTGTTTGTCAACGATGCTCTCGACATCTGCCCGTATCCTAGGCAGCCAAACTAGAGAAGCGTCACCCGCTTTTGGCTCGTCCGCTGTTAGGATCCATCGCTGAGTCGTTTTTCGCCACCTATTCGTCACCACTTCACCAAGACTCACCCGCTACGTACGATTCTTCGGTCGCGCTGTCGTTAAAAATCCCTCTCTCCTTCCCCGCCGTGATCCCTCTTCTCCCCCTCGCTCTCTCCCTTCCCCCCCTTCGGGGCGGTCCCCCTCCCCTTAGCTCCCTCCCCTTCCCCCTCCGTGGTTCCCATGAAGCCGACATGGAAAAAAAAATCATGGAGAACACATCCCACGTACTATGCCATCTGTCTCACTTGTACTATGACCCCCACTAAATCCGCTAATATACCCATAACCCTGTGACATCGTCGACTATTGGGGCCGCTTCGAGTGGCAGGCCCGTGGTAGCTCTCACCATCACGGGTTATACTGGTGTGCTGGCAGTGTCCAGCCCGACTTGGAGGATGATGAAGGGCGGGCTGAGTTTGCCCGCTGCTGGGGTTTCTCTATCACGGCGATGAACCCCGAACCGAACAGGGTGATGATGCAAGGGGAGGCGAACGTATTGATCATCGAGTTGTTTGAGCACGAACAGCCAACCTTTGATACCCTGTCCAGGATCGTCAACAGGGTCCAGCGGCACGCTTGCAGCGAGGCATACTGTCTACGCCGAAAGAAGCTACCTGGTGGTGTTCTTTCTATCGAACCGGCCTGTCGGTTCTACTTCCCTCGTAGGCACCACGAAGAGGCCTACGTCACCCGTGACATGAACCCGGCCTACTGGATGTTTGACGGCGCCCGGAACGATTCGCGTCTTAACGGTTACAACCGTACTATTACTCTTGGCTGGCTTGCCAACACCGACATCAACCCCTGTACCAGCGTTGACGCAGTGCTCAACTACGTCGCTAAATACTGCTCCAAGGCGGAGACCAAGAGCAAATCATACCAGGAGCTCGCTCGCGAGCTCCTGCCCCGGATTTCGAACCGTAATCCGCTAGTTTCGTTTGCTTCGAAGCTTATGAACAAGCTGATTTCTGAGCGAGACTGGTCAGCGCAGGAGATTTGCCACCTCCTGATGCATCTTCCTCTCCAAGAAGGTACTCGGGTGGTTCGGACTGTGGATTGTCGTCCGTATAAATCCCCTATCAGGTCACCATGATTCGACCAGAGAACCAGGCGGTTTCCGTACGGTCCCAGTACCAGAAGTATCTCGAACGACTGGAGCTATGGGACGACATTACCTACTTTGACTTTCTGTCGAACATCGACTGGTCCCGGGGCCCGCAGTCGTGGCGTCGGATTCGACGTGCAAAGCCACGGGTGTTGAACTACTTTCCACGTTACAAGTCTGACCCAGGGGCGGCTGACAATCAGTTCGAGGACTTTTGTCGGGTCAAGTTGATGCTCAACCACGTCCATCGTAACCCCGAGGATTTGAAGACGGTCGATGGCTCTGTCTTTGACACTTATCGCCAGGCGTACGAGTACTGCCTCGAGATCCACCGTCACCCGGACGACTATTACGGCGAGGTGTTTGTACCGGAGGCGGAGGATGTCTTCGAAGATGCGCCTGACGAGGAGCTCCAACCTCGAGACTGGGAGGAACTGGCCGCCGAGCTGCCCAATCGCCCGGTTGAGCAGGAGGATATCGACATCCTCGGCAACCGTGACATCGATATACTGCATTTGTGGGAGCCTCACGTTGGTCGTTACCCTGACCTTGAACCCATCGCGGCAGAGTTCTGGAGGCTCAAGAAGGCCGAACATGGTGTGGGTGAAGTGGAGGTTGGAGACTTCTCTGCGAGTGCGCCCGACAGTCACACTACAAAGCCTACCTGGCCGGCGACAACCCGGATCCTATCCTTCTGCAGGTCGACGGTAGAGGTGGTACCGGCAAGTCGCATGTTATCCGCCCCCTCTCTGCCCGGCTCGACCAGCTTGCGCGGGCTCGTGGCTATTCTTCGCCCGTTGTTCGGGCTGCTCCGACTGGCGTTGCCGCCAACAATATCGCTGGCAGTACTTTGCATTCGCTGCTACGGTTACCGGTGAGCAAGAAGGGCGACATCAACAACCTCAACGCCACTGAGCTTGGTAACTTGCAGGCCAAACTCAAGGACGTCCTCTACTTCATCATCGACGAGAAGTCCCTGATTGGGCTCCGGCTTCTGGCATCGATCAGCTACAGGATGGGCGAGATCTGGCCCCGGTACCGTGATCAGCCGTTTGGTGGCCGCAGCGTGGTCCTGATCGGCGACTCCTTTTAGCTACCACCTGATGCGGAGAGGGCGCTGTATAGCAACAACGCTGTGCTGGGTGCAGTCGAGATCGCTGGTCGCAACATATACCGGGCGTTTCGACCGTACCATCGAGCTCAAAGAGGTTGTCAGACAGCAGGGCGAAACACAGGTGGGCTTCAGGAATGCGTTGGACGGTTTGCGCCATAACAACCCTACGGTTTAGCAATGGAGACTGTTGTCGACCCGGGCGCAGGCGGCATTGTCACTTGAGGAGGTCAGGTCGTTTGACGATGCCCTTCGTATCTATCCGCGGAACAGCCAGGTCAACGACTATAACCTTACCCACCTTGAGGGTCTGAACCTGCCTTGTTACCAAGCTGTCGCTGACAATACTGGCCCAAAGGCTAGCGAAGTTGAGGCGGCGGACGCTGGCAATCTCCACAAGAAGATCCCCTTGGTGATTGGTGCCCGGGTCATGCTGACAGAGAACATCTGTATCGACAAGGGTCTCGTCAACGGGTGTATTGGCACGATCTACGACTTTGCGTGGCGGACTGGCGCCGATATCAGCACGCAGCCTCCTTTTGTTGTGCTAATCAAGTTTGATCAGTACGTTGGTCCTCCCTGTTTCGACGACCCCGAGCTCGCTGGCGTGGTCCCCATCTTTCGCAGTAAGAGGGACTTCCTCAGGGGTAATACCAACTGTACACGCACGCAGTTCCCTCTGACGATCGCCTACGCCATCACGGTACACAAGTCGCAGGGTGCAACGCTTGACAGGGCTGTACTGGATATCTCAGACAGGGATTTCACGGCAGGACTTACGTACGTCGCCATCAGCCGCGTCAAGACCCTCCAGGGCGTCATGTTTGACAGCACATTCGACTTGCAGGCTCTGCGCATTCAAGCCAACGCCAACCACGCGACGCGCGCTTAGGATATCGCCCGACGTCTTCCGCAGTTGGTTACGCCTGCGCAGGTGGAAGTTTACGCTCAGCAGTGGGACATTTATGATGCGTAGATGATTGCTGTTTATGTAGTTCTAGCGTACGGAATACATCTCCTCTCTCTTCGGAATGGCTGACAGTGTATGTGAGGCTGGCTATACCGCAGAGCCATCACAGCCGACGACTGAGCCCGAGCCAGTAGACGAACCAAGCCATTAAGACCAGGGCCAGAGACGACCGCAAGCTAGTAAGTTGACGGCCAAAGGCCGTCGACGGCACTAGCGTAGCAGGGCGTCGGCCCTGCGCGATGGCTGGTCGTCGTATCTGGTGGTATGGCGAGGGCGGTCGTCGGCTCGGTGGTTGGATGGATGTACTGACTGTGGCTGTGGCGGGATGGACGGTGGGTATCGCCAAGCTTCGCTTCACACTTACTGGGGCAGGCCGTGGGCGTGGGTGGCACAGTCAGGTATTTTAATAATAATATCATACACCCCATATCCTACACCCCCCAACTCCCTCACCTCACCCCTGCCACCGGAACCTACTCTCCCTCAACATCGACATCAACCCGGTCGGCAACAGCCCCTGATCCACCACATCCACGCCCCCAAACCGCGCCACAATATCCTTATGATACAGCTGCACCACCCACTGCTCGTACTCGCCCAGGGCACTCCACGTCGGCATATCTGGCAGCGCCGCTTTGACCTCCCCCGTCGGCCCCAGCGCCTTGACCTCCGGCGCCGCCATCAGCTGACGATACAGCCTCCCCAGCCGCGCATCCGTGAGCTCGCGGTAGCGCGCAAACTCGGCCGCCGACATGAACGGCTGGTCGCGTAGGTCCGCCCACTCGGGCCCGTCCCGCCAGCTGGACGCCCCCCACCGGTTGGTGCCGGGGCGGTCCGACTTGACCACCACCGAGGCGTCGTCGTCGTTGTTGTCCGACATGACCATCGAGGCGTCGTCGTCGTCGCCGTTGTCTGACGTGACCACCGAGGTGTCGTCGTCGTCGTCATCATCGCTATCGTCGTCTGACATGTCCGAAGCGTCGTCGTTGTCCTGCAGCGCGGGGATGCTGAAGCCCGCTTCGAAGCGGGCCTTGGCGCGCGCGTAGACGAATTCTTCCTCGGAGAGGTACTTGGTCATGAGCTTGGCGGGGTCTTTCTCGACTTGGCGGCGGAAGAGGAGGAGGGAGATGAAGGGGTTTTTGAGGCCCAAGCCGCCGTGGGAGGAGGGCCAGTAGAGGTAGCCGTCGGGGATGTGGGAGGGGGGGATGTTGAAGCGCGAGGCGATGGTCAGCTTGAGGTGCTCGCCGACGCCGCCGGGATGGTCGGGGAAGAGCTTGTCTTGGATGCGGCGGAAGGTGGCGAGCATGCTGTCGATGTGGGCGCGCCCGTAGCAGTTGGCGGGCTTGCCGAAGTTGTTGGCGAAGAAACGGTGCCCGTAGATGTTCCACGCCTGGATGTAGTCCAGGATGCTGCGGCACGCCGACAACTGGAGGCGGAGCTCGTCGATGTGCTTGTCCACCTCGTCCTGGTTGATCAAGAAGCGGCCCGTGGCAGGGTCCAACTTTAGGAAACCCCACTTCACGTCGCCTTCGGGCAGCGTCCCCGACGAGGTCGTCGATGCCGCGGTGCCGTTGTCGCTCTTGACCTGTACGGAGCCTGTCTTCTCTGAGTTGAGCTCCAAGCCCATGGTGTCGGTGAACTGGGTGATGACCTTCCAGGCGTCGGCGCAAGTCCCCGAGTTGCCCCAGAGCCACATGTCGTCGTGCAGCCGATACAGGCGGGTGCCGGCGGCCTTTTGGTTTACGGCATAGTCCAGGCAGAACAGGATAGACTCCCCGAAAAGGTCGGTGATGGGGGTTGACATGGGCGTGCCACGTTTCCGGATCTGCACAGGAGCATCCGGCGAGTCCTGCTTGAACCGTATCTCCGCCTCGAGAACGCGCCTGAAAAAGTCGATCCATTCCGATTGCACGCCAAAGAACTCGAGAACGGCGTAGATGGTCGAGTGGGGGATAGACGGCCCAAACCACTTGAAGTCGGAGCGGATGACGGTGACATCCTTCCCTAGCTTCGTCTGCATGATGATTTCGGCCTGGAGGCGCTGCAGTAGCTCCTGGACGACCGTGACAGGACTCGGCTTCGTATCGCCCGCCTTGTCCCCGGAGCCGGCATAGGTATCCCTGACCTCGTCGAAGGACCTGGGAAGCTGGTCAAGGAGAATGCTGTGGAAGTGAATGTCACGTAACTTTTGAACCGAGCTCGAGTTCAGCACTAAGTAGTCGTCGAGAAAGAAGCGGTGGCGGCGCGCGTCATCCTTGGAAATGGGCTTGGTGTCAGACTTCCAGACGCCGTCGCCTTTGGTGAACGTGGTCAGAGCCTCGCGAAGCTGGACCGCCCATCGTAGGCCCACGTAATACACCAAAATGGAGTGCAATAGATCCTCATCCGTGTAGAACCGGTATCGGCCGTTGATGTTCCGCCGTTGATCGACGATGAGAGGCGTGCCCCATGACCAGGTCGCCATGGTGGACAGGCGCATGTTGAGCACATCTGCAATCTCCGAGAGAATCACTTTGTTCGCTTTGAAGTCACGAAGGGTGGTGCGCTTCTCTTCGGTCAGAATGTCGCTTCTCAGCATACCCTGAATGACGGTGTCCAGAGTGTCCACGTCGAAGTGGCGCATTGACTTCCAATCCTTTTGGAAACGCTCCAGGGTTTTCCTGACGATCCCCAGATAGCGTTTCGCTTCTTTTGAGGAGAACACGTCGCCCAGGTACGTCTTGATGGCCTTGGGGTCGGTGTCCTTGGCCTTGAAGACATACTCTTCCCAAGTGGCGCGCTGCTCATGCATCTCCTCGCGGCCGACGACGACAAAGTTGGATCCCTCGGCCGTTGACGCGGCATCCGAGTTACCGGACGCGATCCATTCCTCAACAAGCTTGCCGTAGAGCGACGCAAACTCGTACTTGTTGGTCTGCGCGTCCATGTGCTGGCTGATCTCGGCCTCGTATTCCTTCAGGAAGGGCTCGGTAATGGAGGGGTCATATTTGGCTTGGTCAAGGAACTCGCCCAGGCTGGATAGGGCCCTGTTCCTCTTCAGGCCGAGAGACTGAAGGTCCTTGCAGCCCTTGAGCAGCTTCTTGGCTCGTACCGCGGTGTCCGACTCGGAGGCAACCTCCTCAAGCAGAGATCTCTTCTTGTTTCCGTAAGCCTCCTTTTGCTGCTGGAGTTGGTCAAGTTTGATGGCCGTGATGGAGGAGAGGGTCTGGGAGAGGACCTCGGTGGAAGCCATGGCTCGGTCGTGGATCTGAGCAATGTGGGTAATGGAAGCGATGTGTAGAGGATTGAGGCGGGGTCGATGGGATGCCGGAAAGAAAAAGCAACGAAGGGTGTGCGGATTGGATTGACGATATTCAAGAGAGTGCAGAATGCGATGTTGTCTTCCAACGACATCTTTGGGCGAGGGTGCGTTCCATTTTATAGCGGGGATCGCAGTGAGCGGCGCAAGAACCGTGGCGAACGGTGGGACCTCATTCGTGCAAACAATGAGGACGGATTGTGGAAACAAGGAGGACGGGTTGTGTTGTGTGTATGATCAACAAGCCCAATCGCAAAAATCGGAGTTGAGGACATGCGCGCGATCGCTAACCGCAAGTGAGGACGGATGAAATGACGCCGGGTGACTCAACGGTGCACAGGAGGGATTCAACGACGGTCTTGGGAACTAAAAAGAAAAAGTAGAGTAGAAAAAAAGAAGAATGCCGAATATAATTAGAAAAGTTAAAATGACAAGTAAAAGAACAATAGGATATAAGAAAAGAAAAAAAAGAGGAAAAGAAGGAAAACAAAAAAAAAAAAAAAAGACAGAGGAGACTATAAACTATGAAATGGCCCGATGGTCTCTGGGTATCAACTCAAATAAAAAGCACCGTATAAACGATTACTAAAACCGTGTCATTCAGGGCCCTTCGAAAACTGTCTGCTCGAGACCAAACACCTACCTTCTCAGAACAGCCTGACAATCTCACAAGTCTGGCATGGGCACCGACAGGTAATGATGGAAAGATAGGTAGCAAGAAGCGAACCATCAAGTTTGAAACCAAAAGAAAGGAAGCAAAGCCACCCTCCAGAACTGGACTGATACAAGTAAGTGTAGCACAGATACACGAAACCGAAACCCAACTCACTCGCTCCGCCCCGATTCCGCCTGCCCCGCCATCATGATATCATGTCTTTGTCTTTCTTAACCTCCCTGTCATGTCATATCGACTCCACAAACACCCCAACACCCCTCAGTCTCACACCCCATCACCACATACTCCCAGCATCACACCCCTCAGCACCACACCCCAGCATCACACCCCTCAGCACCACTCCCCATCATCACCCCTATCACCACTCCCCTCCCATCACAACCCCCCCTCACAACCCCAACCCAACCCAACCCAGCACACCGCATCCCACCCCCCCCACCAACCGCCCAACAGAACCACTACTAGTAATCCATCGGCGCATCAACCAGCGTGACACTATGCTGCTGCCCATGCCCATGCTGCTGCTGCTGCTGCTGCGGGGTGCCCCTCTCCGGATGATTATTCGGCGGCGGGGTAGCCGTGCGGGCGGCCGCCGCAGCGGCCGACGCGGGCGTCACGCGGCGACCGGACGAGAAGCGCGCGCCGCTGCGGCCGAGGCTGTTGCGCTTCTCGACCATGTGGTGGTCCTGCTCGCCGACCTTGGCGAGGTGGGGGTCCGTGGCGGTGGCGATGGGGGTTTGGGCTGGTGGTGTGCCCGGAGCGGCGGCGGAGGAGGCTGCTGTCATGGCGTTGATGCCGTTCATGATGAAGTTGCCGTCGGCGGGGTGGCTGAGGTTGGCGGTGTTGGTTGGGGTGTCGGATTCGCCGGGGACTTCGAGGCTCGTGCGCTTGGGGAGGTTCGGGCCGAGGCTGGTGCGCTTCCGGGGCTCGCTGGTGGGGCTGGTGAGGTTCGTTGAGATGGGGAAGCGCGTCTCGGGGCCTCCGACGCTCCGATCGCGGCGGTGGGAAGCGCGGGGGCTGGGTGCCGGAGAGGTTGCCCTGCTTCGGCTGCCGGTGGCCTTCTCCAGGAGCGCGCGGTTGCGCTCTTCCATGTGCGCCTTGCGGTTGCTTTCATCGGTGGAGATTGCCCGTGGCCGGTTCTGGTTACCCTTAATAGAGCCAGAAGAGTTTGCGGTCGACAGGCGCTTCAGTTCGTTGAAGATGGAGTCCTTATGCGCAAAGAGGTCGCGGACAAGCCGGTAGGCGTGCTTCTCCTCCATCGTGAGCGACGTCTCCGAGCGCGGGCGCAGGATGCAGGGGGCGAGAGAGGTCGCGAGCTTGGCGATGTACTCCTCATCGGCGGATGTGAGGTCGATCAGGCGCGTGAAGTGGTTCATGCAGGCATCCAGGGACGCAATGTTAGTGAGCCGCAGCTGGGAGAGTGTCTGCTGTAGAACGGGGACGCGGGCCGCATCGCCGCCATCCGCGGTTGGGGTGGTGTAGATGGTCCGGATGATTTCGTATACGTGCGACGAGACAAGAGAATCTGGCGGTGACTGTTAGTTTACTACTCGACCCTAACAAACACCCCTTAGACGGGACATACCAGGAAGTTCAAGGAGATAAAGCTTCAGCAGACTCGCGACCGTGGGTATATCAAATTCAGCAAACGTTTCGAGGGCTGGCGCTTTCCCGTTGTTGACCCTGGCCCTCAGCTTGTGTGTCTGGGCAAGCGGTACTTCGTGCAGCCACACTCCCCTGCGGGCTTCGTCGCCCTCAAGGTCAGGATAGTGGTGATCCAGATAGGTGAGGAGTGTCGTGATGATGACGGGAACGCGCTTCCGGTCGGCCCTGGCGCGGGCCTCGAGGTCCACGCCGAAGGTCTGCTCGTCGACCTTGTTGTAATAGTTTTCGTAGACCACCACCTTCGGGGTAAAGCTGCCGGTCCGGTAGTTCTCCAGAAGGTACCGGAGGTCTCCGAGCGGCTGCACAGTCTCCTGGTACAGCATCATGTTGTCGACGGTGGACTGCAAGCTGGGGATCACATTGCTAATGGTCCCGGAGAAGTCCAGGATGACCGTCTTGGTAGCCTTCAGCCGGTCCAGCTCGCACCGCTCAAGAAACTTGAGATGTACGTGAATGGCCTCCTCCAGCTCGCAGCGCATCTCGTCCAGCTTCTGAACTGCAGCCTTGTACCGATCGTCCGCTTCCCTGGCTTCCCGGCGCATGCGCTCAGCGGGCGTCTCGTTCGGCCGCGACGTGTTTAGGACGTCCCATTTGGCCAGGTACTCGGTCACGGCGCCAACCACCGGAGAGTCGCCGCCATCGGACCCGCCCACCGGGATCGAGAAGGTCCTCGCCATCGCCTTCTTTTCGGGGACACCGGCCGTCTCAAATGCCTGCGGTCGCCATTGGTAAAACAGCTTGGAGCTGTTGGCGAAGGTGTTTCCGACGTTGCCGACCAGGCGCAGGAAGCCGTGAGTCACCAGATCCTGACCAATGCGCTCCGCATAGCTCACGCTTGAGCTCCCCATATTCTGTTGGATGTATTCCACGATATCGGAGCCAGCCGAGGTGTTCTGGTATGTCCCGAGGATTGGAACCTTGGTCTCGCCCATCTTGACGGTTGCGATCATGTGCGACAGGATCTTCTTCACTTGTTCGGGGGAGTATATCTGGTCGCCGATCTCGAGGGGTTCCTCCTCCTCTGCTGGTTCTTGGTCCACCTTGATTTCTGGGATATTCTGCAGTTGCTTTGGGCTGCCCTCGGGGTCCTGGAACGCGAGCTTGTTCTCTTCCTCGATATCCTCGACAAGGCGGCATTTGTTGAAGTAGCTGCTCCTCAGCTTCTTGACGGCCTCGGCCTGCTTGTCGTGGGCTTTGATCCGTCCCTGCAGTTCCTCGTGGGAATCCTGTATCCGAGTTTCGTGCGCATCGCACCAGCGAGAGAAGGGGTTGACGACCAGGTCGCGGATGTTCTGGGCAATCTTCTTGTGGTTCTTGGAGGCATCCTCCATCTCGGTTCGTACGCCGTCGTACGCCTTGCGCACGCTGGCGCCATCGTCGCGGCCAAAGCCGCCTTGGATCTTGTCGACTGCGGGGGCAATCTCGGAGAGGCGTTGACCGTAGATCTCCTCGGCCTCGGCGCGCATTCGGGCGATCGTCAGGACTTGGCGGTTCTCGACAACGCCTTGCTGGAGCTTGCCGAACAGGACACCAAGTCCTCGGGTTCTGTCAGCGAGATGGGGTTCATGCGATCAACACTTGGAGCAGCAACTCACCTGCGGCGTAGTCGTTGGACCAGAACGAATCTGCGAAGCCCGGCATCTTTACGAGGAGTGCCGATCACACCTTGGGTTGCTCGTTGTTGTTTTCAGCCCTCTCTGGCCGGCGCAAACGGAAATCGGGAGAGAGGTCGTTTCGGATGTTTATTTGGACAGTTGCTGAATTCCCGCGAACCAGTCGTGGCACGGCTCCGGACCTGGCGGCTTGCAGGGAGGCCAGAGTTTGTGTTGGGATGATTGAGGCTGAGGCTGGCCGAAATCTTGGCTTTGAAGGTGGGACAGGGACTTGGAAGTCAAAGTGCGCAAGGGTTCACGGGTGTGACGGGGAGATGGTCGAAATCGGAGGGTCTTTGGGTGGACATAAAGCAGGTCGTAAACGGCTATGATGTCGCAAAAAGGAGGTCGAAAGCAAAGCAAGGCCGTACAAGAAACAAAAAAAAAAAGGAATTCCGTCTTGAAGTTGGAAATCGTCCCTCCCTCCCAAGGAGGCACCCGACCCTGGAGATGCAGGTGCCCAGCCAAACCCCACGTCTCATTGGATGGGGCGCATAGCCTGCCCGTTCCAGTCGTCAGCGACAAACTGTCTCAGCCCCCTGCAGAATCCCAGGCGGCCAATTGGACTGTTGGAAACTTCTCAACCCACCCTGCTTCTGCCGCCTTCTCCAACGAGCCAACTTTCCAACCTTGAGCCAACGACAACTGCCAACGACAACTGCCAACACGACTGAGAGAACTGTGCGGGAGTGAGAACCCGTGCTTGAAATCAACTGTCTCTTTAGCGTGTCTGTGGGCCTGGTTGGGCGTATTACATGTACCATCTCCAGCCATTTGCGCCTTTCTACAGCACATCCCCACACATTTTGTGTTTTGGAGGAACTCTCGGTATCGAACGATATCACTCCGACAAAATCGACATTGCAGGCGACAACTAGTTATTTGACGGCACGACGGATACTCGGACAGTGATAACTATGCCTACAGACGTTAAGGCGCCATGTTGCCCGCGAGAGAGGGACCAGTTGGGTGATCTTGTGATCTACTTGCGAGATGACTATACACGATGAACTTAGGAGACAGATTCCGAGCTTTGATGTTCTATCTAGTTTCTCTTGATCATGCCCGTAAGTAAGGATGGTATCTCGGGGTCATCAACCCCTGCATATCTGTCGTCTGGCTTGGGTCATCGACGTGGAAGATGTGCTCCCCAGGAAACAGCAAGTTGGTGGTCAGGAAGTAATCCATTGGCGTCATGTCGACCGATATCGCGGGCGCCGACGGGTTGATGCCCCGAGCATGTGGCGTCAGCGCGTTGGTTCCGCCGAAGAAAAGCTTCCACCACTCTTGCTTCTTGGCCTCTATCGTGATTCCCAGCTGCGATGCAAGGTGAAGAGGAGCTGGAGTTGGTTTGGATACAGCTCTGGCTTCGGGCCGCGGCCCCAACTAGCCGTCCCCGTGAACGAGAACTTGGCATCCACGGCGCCCGACTTACTTAACACGTGGCGGCCGAATTTATCGACACTAGTCCATTCCATTCTCTGGGGTGCGCTGGTATACGATAGCTTGACCGGGGGCGTCGGACTCGAGTTGGTTGAAGAGAAGACGAGCTCCGCAGTCGGACTATCGAGGTTGAAGAAGAAACCATCCATGTTGAAGACCATTTCCCCGGTCGCTTTCTGGTATTGTGGAGCTTCAATCGGGTGCGATGGCAGGTTGAGTGTGAAGCGCATTCCGGCTGCACAAAACGCGGTGTTAGATTTCTCGTCCTGGGGGGTTTGTAAAAAGGTGAGTTGTTGACTCGAAAGCCCTTACCGTCGCCTGTCTGAGACACACACTTCATATTGGAGAGGCTCTTGTTCAAGCGGGGCTGATGATAAACACAAAATAGCTTAGCACTTTATTGACAGCCAAGAAGGGAGAGAGAGGTACGCATGGGGTGACTCACGACGATGAATGAGCTCGCCATAACGCGGTGGCTGAAGATGACACTTGCTGTCCGCCCGGTCGGGATCGGATTCACAGGTTTACCCATCGGGGTAAACTGTATTGGCGGCGGGGTTGATCCAGCGTTCTGGTTGTCCTCGAGCAAGATGCCCATGCAGATGGCGCTTGTGTCGTCGGCCCCGTACATCACACTGAAACTGAACCTCGCAGGCCGGAGAATCGAGGCATCACCAGCATTGGCCGGGGCTTGGTTATTCACGCCCGCAAGGCAGTACTGGAAAGCCAGCGTCCCTGAACCTCCGTTCAATCTTTGCCTTCACCGACTCCTCAATGCGGTCCAGCTGGTCAGGAGTATTCCCTCCTTGTCCGTCGTTCTTGACAGCGACGGAGAGGAGTTCCGGGAAGTTGATGCAAATCCCCAGAGCCGTATTGTTTCCCTGTTCGATGACCCTCACAGTGCCTGCGGGAGACGGGTCTGGGGAGGCATTTGGGGTGAATCCGCCCGCCGCGCTGGTGGTCCCATGCACGGCTGTCAGACTTGCGATGATCACGATCTTGACATTTTCGAATGTTGTTGTCATTGTCTGGCCGTCCGATACACGTTTGAGGGTCTTGGAACCTGAAAAAGGTGCACTGAAGGTGATGTTTCCATCCTGGTCTAGGATCTGGAGGGATGGTCGCTGTAGCTTGACCTCAACGGTGATGGTGCAATCGGAGCCCCAGTCATCTGGTTTTGGACACCGAGTTAGTATATATAGGTAGGTAGGTACAATTAGTACTCAAAAGCCTCAAGAATCAACAACCCAAGTCAGTTCGATACTTGCCTTTGGTCTCCTCGGTCCAGCTTAATCCCTCTACCAATGGAGTCCCGGCCTTGGCCGCTCTTTCGAGCAAAATCTTGTTCAGCTCCGTTTGGTTGTAGGACACGAGAACATCGTAGTCGTGCAGTGAATCTTCGCCTTGCATCTTCTCGGCAAGCTTCGCGAGATTCTCTTGGGGGGGTTTTGTAAGCCATATCGTCTCAGAGCCTCGGCTGGTTGTGTTGGTTTGTCGAGCAAGTCCTCTTTGTACTGGTACGCTCCGACGAGAGTGAGAGAGCGGATGGGGGATGGGGGCCTGGCAACCGTGATGACTCTGGAGCCGTACCACTCATCCCTGAAATATATACCAAGTGTGGGCGGCTTCATATTGCCGTCAGCGACCTCGCTGACATGGCCCAAACATGCAACAGGTACTTGAAGCGGAACATCTAGGCGTCTAAGCGTTACTGTGCTGGCCACGTTGGTTCAATGGCGACTGGAGGTGATGCAGGCATGGATGCTTTTGGCTCGGTATTACCTCTAGTTCGTCGCCGATGAGGCGTAGTCCGTCTGCACCGCAAGATGCCCCGCCAATAGCAATGAACTTCATGGCAACGAAAACAAAGCTCTTCCTGAAATATCCTGCACCTGTGACTATTGCAGCCCGGTGTCTCACCTGAGCACGGCGAGCTCAGTTCATCTTGACTACATAAGGCAAGGGGAAACCGAGAGATAAGTCAAGATTCCATATGAGCACGAGATCACCACACACACAGCAGCTTACCGCCGCTTTTGAGACGCTCTGCAGCAAGGATCAAATTACGGTCTCCACCCGGCGGTGTCGACGTCCGACTCTGCATTGGAGATCCGGCAGCGGTAGCCATTGCTAGACCAGGCAGGGACTTTAATCAAGCATAGCGCCTTAACTTCAACTGTACCGTGACAGCTGAAACGAAGCCCTCATGTCAACTTTACCCTTCCCAATGTATGTATTGCTGCCCAGTTCACTGAGTTGTAATTTGTTTGTCTCAGACTACATGTGCGGAGGCATTGAACAACGCGCGATACCCGAGAGAGATCTACAAATGCAGAAGGGCAATTAGTAATTCGGGGAATCGTTGACAGTCCAGTGATGCCAGACCCGCCTGACGTGTGACCTGGCAGAACATAATCCAGCTCGCTGATGAGAGCTCGCCCGGATAAGTACCATCGTACTAGCAGTAATGGGAACTGGAATGAGAGGCCCAATAAGTTCAACACTTACTGAAAAGAAGCCGCTGGTTTCCTCATTGCCCGTCTTTGCCTTCTCTGGGAACTACTAGGCGCAGACAAACGAAAGTCATAACCCGTGTCCCGAGTTCCAGTCCTTATCCCCATCATGACCGACAAGCCCGTCGAGTACACATTCAAGCCGTCTCCGGCATCAGAATCATACGCCTGCTATTCCGATGGCAATACGATACTCGTGCTTAGTACCGATCATGTGGACCTCGGCGCACTCAAATTCGCTGAAGGCACGGCGCTCATCTATGCCGAGACAGTCACCCATTTCGGAGGACATATCGGCTCCGGGAAAGTCTCTCGGAATCTTTTGCTGACAATTGAATGTTGTCGGCCCCTCCCGATCTATCAACCTTTCTGGAGAAAAGGCGGATGACAGGAGTACCGCTCCCAACGGAGATGGGCAACATGGCGGCGATGGTAAACCAGGGGGTAAGATGTGGCTCTACGTCGAAAACACAAACAACTCTCCCTTCGGGCTCAAGATCACTGCAAACGGGGGATGCAGGACGAGGTGGCAATACTCTTGGTGAGAAAGGCACTAGTGGCAATGGCGGCAACGGGGCAAGGCCGGTATGTTTTCTTTGTGCAGCCCGTGCAGCCTGTACAGCCTGTGCCGCGATGGTTTCAACTAATTACCCAAGTACCTTCGTGTTCTGATAACTATCAGCCTTCCGTTTTCTTTTGTGTCAACGGGAGTACATTTTACGCCATAACCAGCAGATCCTGGTCACACATTGGCACGGAAAACACCCAAGGTGCAGTACAGAACCAAATGCAGAGCCAACTGCAGGTGAAAGGACTCTTCGTTGAGCAGAACACACAGTGGATGGAATCAATGGAACACTGCAGAAGTCGAGCCAGAAATTCCTTGGCATTGTTGGTTCAGATACCCCACGATGAAATATACGTGAAACAGTACGTATGGTACATACAGACTTTAGTGGGGTCAGCCGTTGCACGGTTGCACAACAGACAACATGGGAGCTGAGGATGACGAGGCTGAAAAAAGCAATTGGTGATTGGCGCTGGCTTACACGACACGCACGAGGCTTGGGCCCCGCCAGAATGTCAGTAACTACCTATCGTTAAATGTCTTGTGATATTTGACGTTCTGACAACCCTTGGAGTCAATACCAGCGAGAACCAAGGGCAGCGCCAGGTGTTTTGGAAACACTCGTGTTGAGATAAAACTTTTAGTCCCAAGTACCTACCTAGTTATTGAATGCTAATAAGTGGTTTTGTGTTGAGTCAGAGAGAGCATAACTCCACATTCACAGTTTTTGGGGTTGTCAATGTTGAAGAATTTGCGCTAAAGAAGAACTCGCCGAAGGAGAATTTATGGAGAGGAACCTGACGGACCTGAGCGGCTTTCTGCTTGGTATTTCCACATTTGTCATCGTATCAATGGCAATACCCCATTCCAGGCCCACTCCCCCTCCACTGCCACCGGTGAAGCCAGAACTGGTGATTCCCAGAATCCGCCAAAGGAACGGTTGACGCTCTCCGATATTACATTCCTTGGTGACACAATAATAGGGACCCATGAAGTTTAACCCGGAACTCCCTGGGCCCGTCGACCGCCCTGAGCCCAAAGGCGGTGGTGACCCGACGGTTGCCGGACCACCACGGCGGAGGTCCTCAAAGGCCGTTTTATACGTGATATTGTCATTGGTGTTCTTTGGGTCGTTAATTCGATTATTACCTATCCATTCGGTGTGCCTTGGTAGGCTCCGTTCAACCAAGCCTAGGACTATTGAAGAACGTGTCGAGCATATCTTGCGGGCTACCCCCTTGATCGGTAACCTCCCTCGGCGCCCTCATGATGCTATAGTCTCTGGCTTACACCACTGACAGACGGACATAACGACCTGGCCATCTTCATCCGGGCATTCTACAACAACCACATCTACAATGAAACCTTCAGCGAGCCCTTCGCCGAGGGCGGTCTCCGCGGGCACGTCGACATCCCCCGTCTCCAAGCCGGCATGAACGGCGGCGCCTTTTGGAGCGTCTTCTGGCCCTGCCCAGCCAACGGAAGCGACTACTCGGACGAGAACTACCACTCCCAGTAACCCCCCGCCCCCCCCACTCTCCCTCTCATCCCACCCACCTTCCCTTCAACCACCCACTAACCACCACCCCCAAAGTCGTGCAACAAACCCTCCAACAAATCGACCTCCTCGCCCGCCTCCGGCACTCGCACCCCTCCATCTTCGCGCCCCCCACCCTCACCAGCACCGAAGCCCTCGACCGCTTCCTCGACACCCACCACCATCAACCCCACCCCCACCACCACTCCCAACTCCCCCAACCCAAATTAATCGGCCCTCTCGGCGTCGAAGGGCTCCACCAAATCGGCAACTCCGCCGCCATCCTCCGACAATTCCACGCGCTCGGCGTGCGCTACGCGACCCTCACCCACAACTGCGGCAACCGCTTCGCCGACGCCGCGCTGCACGAGCGGCCGCTGCGCCGCGCCGCGCCCGTCTGGCACGGCGTCAGCCCCGCGGGCAGGGCGATGGTGCGCGAGATGAATCGGCTGGGGATGATGGTGGACTTGGCGCATGCCAGCGTGGATACGATGAGGGATGTGCTCGGTGGGGGGGATGGGGGGTGGGAGGGGAGTGCGGCGCCGGTGGTGTTTAGCCATTCGAGTGTGTATGCGTTGTGCCCGCATCCGAGGAACGTGCCGGATGGGGTGCTGGATTTGGTGGGCCAAAGGGGGGGGTTGGTTATGGTGAATTTTAATCCGGGGTTTATTTCGTGTGTGGAGGCGCCGGGGAGGGGGGATGGGTTGCCGGAGTTTTATCCGGCGAATGCGACGCTGCAGCAGGTGGTGAGGCATGTGCTGTATATTGGGGAGCGCATCGGGTTTGACCATGTTGGGTTGGGGAGTGACTTTGCGGGGATTGTGGACGTTCCGGAGGGGTTGGAGGATGTGTCCAAGTTTCCGGACTTGATTGCCGAGTTGCTGCGGCAGGGAGTGAGTGATCGGGATGCCGCGAAGGTGGTGGGGGGGAATATTCTCCGTGTTTGGGGGGAGGTTGAGGCCGTGGCGAGGGAGATGCAGAAGAAGGGCGAGCCGGTGTTGGAGGATGACTTGCCCGGCCTGTTCGCGGCAGGGTATCGGGGAACGGAGGAATTGTGAGCCGGAGAGGCCCGCTCCAAACGGGTGAGGGTTGACCAGGGCTTCTGTAACCCAGTATCCAGTATGTATATTCCGTATTGTACATAGAAACACACGCCGGTGCGCCGTTGCTCGGCCGGGACGACCAACTCCGTTGTCTATCGGTCCCAATGCGCCCGCGAACCCGGACTTTCCTGCCCGGCACGGGGAGGGACAAACACCATGTCGACTACCTCGCCCCAACCTGCAATCCCAACCAATTCCCCGAAGCTGACGCCTCCCTTCTCTAACCCCGCCGCTCGACCTTGTTGAGTTTCCTGGCCGTCTCGATCTGGTTCCTTGTCCGTTGGCCGCGCACCGGCAGTCCCATGGCGTGCCGCCTACCGCGGTATGTCCCCATATCACGCAACCGCTTGATGTTGTCTTGGAGCACTCTCCTGGCGTCGCTTTCGATATTCATCGTCGACAATTCGGCCGTCAGGGCTGTGAGAGTTTTGGGCGGCAGTGTGCCCATCTTCGCCCCCGGATAAATCGAGTATTTCGCCAAAATACGGTCCGCTGTTTGTGGCCCGAGTGCGTAGAAGGACTGAAGCGCTTTCTGAGGGGATATGAGTGCGCGGGCTAGAGGAAAGGGTGGTGTGATTCAGCGCACCTTGACGAGCTTCTGCTCGTTGAAGTTAACTCCGAAGATGAACACCTGACGGTCATGGTCAGCCTAACTTTCTTGTGTATGTAGGAAAATACCCGTACCATCTTGTCTATTGCGGCCGGACACCCTCAGCCAAATTTTCGTCAACAGCGCATTCGGGATCAGCATCAACCTCGCGGCCGCGGGTCGAGAGGCAGGCTCCACCGGATGCTGCCGATAAAAATCCAAGATAATGTGGCAGGTGCACCCGCTTGGCAACAACTGGCAGCCTGCCAAGACCCTACCTGACAACCACCAAGGGCAAGAATTGAGTCAGAGAAAACCATGGCACGAATGGATAACAAGGAAAGGAAATCGGTGGAAAAGAAAATAAACCGAATAGACTCTGCGAAATAGATGGAATGAAATTAGACAAGAGATAAAAAAAAAGAAAACTCAGTCAAGTTAGCTTATTGTTAGTTTCTGCGGTTGCATTCCAACTCATTCTGGCGTTTTGCCTTGTGCTTGCTTTCTGCTGCACTAAAATGAATTCCCCCCCAAACACCTACTTGGAAACAAAACCACCTCGTCACACCACACATGCCACCAACAAATCATGGGTCACTGGAAACGAGGCCAAACCGGCCACTCCCACATTCTGATGAGTTCTCCTCAACAGAGGAGTACGTGGAAAGCCTCTTGCATTTTGCGACTAACTCGGACTTATTCCGGTTTCTCTGCGGCGGCGTCCACATTCTCGATTTCTTCACCACCGAACCAGGAGTGTTTGCTGTGGCCGTGCCCAAAGAATGGCAGGACTATCTGGTGCAGACTACCCCAATGGGGC